GTACAGGAAGTTGTGTGAAATGGGGGTTTTGTATACGAATATTGTATTAAAAACTAGGTGATTACCAAAAATCCTCTCATGGAAACCTTTTTTTTTTAAGTGAATGTGCACAGACCCGGAAGCCGTGGCTAGACATTCCCCTGAGTAAATGTGTGTGCGTGGCACCGTCCTCACGGAACACTGTCCGGTGACATCTGCCCCGGGAGGCTCCCCGGGCTCCCCGTGTCCCAAGCCCCAGGGCGGAGCTGAGAATTTGGGAGGGACTTGGGGGCATCTGTCGTCTTTGGTGAGACACATGGAGTGCTGTGGGTGTTCCTGGGACTTCCCCCTGAGTGTGTGCGTGTGCACGTGTGTGTATACATGTGTGCAGGGGCATGTGTGTGCACGTGTTCATGTGTGCATGTGTCTGTGTGTGCATGTGTGTATGCCGGGGCTTGTGTGTGCACACATGTGCTTATGTGTTTACTGGTATATGTGCTTGTGTGTGTGCAAGTGTGTATTTGTGTGTGCCTATGTCTGTGTGCAGGGGCTTGTGTGTGCACGTGTGTGCATGTGTTTGTATGTGTTTATATGTCCTTGTGTCTGTGTGTGCACACGTGTGTGTTGGGATGGGAGTTGTCGCACCTTCCCAGCAGCCTCTTCCATGAACCCCAAATCCTGACCCTTGCTCCCACCCAACAGAGTAATTGGGATTTCATGGAGCTAAACCTTCCCGCCAACCTTTCGGGGACCAACCTAGAGTCACCAGTGTTTTCCTGTGGCTAAGTGGGGGCACCTGCTTTTAAACCACCACCGAGAACCACCATCATTTCGTGAAAGAAGGGGCATTTATAATATCAAACTTCAGCGGGCAGCACACCCTGTCAGCTGGTCACTCACCACAGGAGCCACTCAGGCAAGCGGGTCCCGCACACCTCTGGGGCCTTCCCTGCCAGCCGCAAGCCTCGGGCGCCCTCTAGTGGCCATGTGCCTCCGTCCCCAAGAAAACCTCGGCAAACCGCAAGCGCCCAGTGTCCTGGTTACTCGCGGTCAAGAAAGGCCTTCTGGAGCTGTGGGACCGCACTCTAGGTCAGTGATGGCGAACCTATGACACGCGTGTCAGAGGTGACATGCAAACTCATTTTTTTGGGTTGATTTTTCTTTGTTAAATGGCATTTAAATATATAAAATAAATATCAAAAATATAAGTATTTGTTTTACTATGGTTGCAAATATCAAAAAATTTCCGTATGTGACACGGCACCAGAGTTAAGTTAGGGTTTTTCAAAATGCTGACACGCCGAGCTCAAAAGGTTCGCCATCACTGCTCTAGGTCCTAAACGGAGGGCAGCACCCAGGGCCAGTGTCGCAGGAACCCCTCCCTCTCCTGGGTCCTCCCTGAAGCCCGAGGGCTCATGGTGGCACCTGCCCCGTTTGACAGATGAGGACACAGCGTCAGAGCGGGGCGGTGACTTGCCCAAGACCACAGGCTCCGTAGCACCTAAGCCAAGACCTTATGGAGGCTGGCACTCAGGCCCTACAGACATTCACTCATGCCCCGCTCACAGAGAGAGCCATGGACCAAGCAGACACTGTCCCTGCTCTCGGGGGATGGCTTCTTGCAGAGGGCGCCAGATGCTGAACCGGAAAATGAACACCAAAACAGATAGCTTCAGAGGAAGAAAGGGGTGCTGATGAACATAAACAGGGGGTACCACGGACAGACTGAGTTGGTCAGAGAGGCCCCTGGGGAGCTGAGCAATGAGGAGCCAGAACGTAAAACCCTGGAGAGGAAGGCAGGACAGTTCAGGCAGCGGGAACAGCCAGTGCAAAGGTCCTGAGGCAGCAGTGTGCTGGGCTAACTCTAGGAGCAGCAAGGACAGCGTGGCTAGAGCACAGGGCAGGGGAGGCCACCAGAACCAAGTCACGCAGGGACTCCCGGCCACGTGAGGACTGTGAGCTTGGTGCTAAGTGCCATGGCAAAGTAAGGGTGGTTTTAACCAGGCAGTGCCAGGATCTGATTCACATCTTAGTCTTTGCAGCTGTTGGGTGGGAAGCCCGAGAGGAGAGAGCTGCAGAAGTCCAGGTGAGCGAGGGTAGGCTTGGACAGGGGTGGTAGAAGTGGTGGAGAAAGAGCAACAATGTCAGAAAGACTCGCAATCTCACAGTGGAAGGATTCCCCAAAGATCAGCTGGTCGGTCGGTGCCATTACTTCACAGTGGGCACAAGGAGGCCCAGAGAGGGTCAGAGCTCCACTGTGGTCACACAGCAGGCTGCACAGCCATCTTTCACACCCAGGCCCTGGGGCACCTAGGGCTGAACACTTTTGCTTCTGGCCCCCGGGTGGTGTGGGAATGGGCAGGAGTCCGTCCCCCGGCGTCTGATGTGGGGTTTGGGGCAGCCCTCCCCAGAGGGTGGAGGCTGGTGTGAGCTGCATCCAGCCCCACAACCTCCGTTTGATAGGTTCAGAATTAGTTGATATTTGAGTGAATTTAATATACAAAAACCAGTTAAATCCACA